GCAGGTGCCTACGCGTACCATACCTCCAGGGTATCGAATCCAGTGTGGGCGCAGTCCCTGAGGAGGGACGGGCGGGTGCCGCAGACATACGGCTCCAGGATCGGTGTGAAGATGACGCCGTCGTTGCCGTGCTCGACCTTGCGCAGCTCGTCCTGGTACGCGTAGAGATGCTCCCCGCCGCTGCCCCCCGGCTTCACCTGCTGGAAGAGTGCTGCCGTGTGTGGCCCAGCGTGGGGTGTGCTAGCCTGTCGCCGCTGTGTGCTGTGCGTGCATTCTTCCACCCGATGTCTATTGTCCGCACTGCCCGATGTCTATTGTCCTCACTGCCCGATGTCTATTGTCCACATTGGCTTGAAGATGTGCTGCAGGTGGCGTATCACTCTAAAGCTGGGCTCATCTCGGCTCGTCTCGGCTCAGCTCGGCTCGTCTCGGCTCATCTCGCGCCTGCTGGAAGATGTGCTGCAGGTGGCGTATCGAGAAGAAGTCCTTCTGGTCGACGGCAAACGGCTCGGAAGACAGGTCGCGCCCGGTGGCGCCCGCCTCGTAGCGCGGTCCGAGCACCTCCCGCTGCAGCGCGAGCAGCCGCAGCGGCAGCGGCTTGTCCATCAGCCACGTCCCGCTGACAGCGCACGCGTCATACGCCAGGTAGCGGAGGGAGCGCCGCGTCTCGATGGTGCCCTCCTCGGTGCCGCGCCGGACGGCGTCGAGCACTAGCTCGCCGTCGAGCAGCGTCTCGTCGAGCGGGGCGCCGCCGCCGCGCGCGGGGAAGTGCATCGCCGGCAGCTTGATGAACTCGAACCGGCGGTCGACGGCGTAGGCGCCCCGCTCGCCGAGGACGAGGAGCATGTACCGCATGCCGTCCGTCTTCTCGGAGGCGTAGAAGCCCATCCGCTGCAGCGAGACCTGCTGGTCCGCGTTCATGTGCCGCCGCTCGAACGAGACGGGCTGCGAGCCGGGGAAGCTGTCTGGCTGCGCGTCGCCCTGCCGCATCAGCTGCAGGAAGAGCGCGCGCAGGTTGTTGAGCTCCGTCTGCTGCTTCACGCGGGGCAGGTCGGGGAGGAAGAGCGGGTCGGAGGAGGCGGCGGCCATGGCAGAGCACCGAGGCCCTCGTTCGAGAGTGTAGGCTTTGGGCGCGACGAGAGACCGGCGAGACCTGGAGAAGAAGCAGCGCGGTGCGCGCGGGCGACAGTTTGTTCACAGCCTTCTCTCGAGGTTCTCGAGGTGGATATCCTTTGGCCGCGTTGGGTAGCGAGGATTGGTGTAACCCGAGCCACGAAGCTCGCGAAGTGCGGATTTGGAGCGCCGCGCCGGACCTCCGGCGGGGCCCGCCGGGGCCACGGGAGAAATCATTTTGGAGGTTAGACTACCCTGTACAAAGGGCGCGACGCGGGAGAGAATTCGCGGGAATGACCGACGCGATGCAGCAGATGTTCGCGTACGGCACGGCCACGCCGCCGCACTGTCGCGACCGCGAGGAGACCGGAGTGATTCGCCCGGGCGCGCATGTGCGAATTGTGGGGCTTGAGAGTCGTTCGGACCTCAACGGCGCGAACGGCGTGGTTCTCGACTATTCCTACCAGAAGGCTCGCTGGGCTGTGCAAATGGAGCGTAAGGCGGTCAGGGTCAAGCCTGCCAACATGCGTGTCGACTACAAGCAACCTGCTGATGTGCCGTCGGCCAAGTCGTACCTCGAGAAGATCACACCGCCGGGAATGCAGTTCACGCCTCAGATGCCACCAATCCGCTTTGGTGCCGATTTCCAGATTGAAAAGCCAGATCTCGAGGCGGAGGCGCGCTCGGCGCGCATGCAGGTGCTGAAGTGCGGCCTCCACGCCGCCGGCGCTTTGTCGGGAGGCGGGCTGGACGACCTGCCCGCAGATCTGCGTGCTGCACTGCAGGCGGAGGCTATCATCTGACCCCTCCCCCCCCCCCCCCCGCCCGTCTTGTGTCTTCCGATTATACAGCTAGAGAACACAATCCCCTCTCCCTTTTCTCCCAGTAAGCTAAAAGTACGTACCTATCCTAGAGAGAGAGAGAGACGTACAGCTAGCACATGAATCATGATGACATATTACTTTTTGAATGCCGTGGGGCTCCTGTCGTTAGACGTGGAGACGCGAGGGCTGCCCCCCCTTGCCCCACCACCTCGTGTGTGTGGAGAAGTTTACCTTACCTTACCTTATTCATGAAGCGAGACCGAAACGAGCGCGAGTAGCACCCCCCCAGGGCCCTCCTCCTGGCTGAGGATGAAGCGATAGGAGAGAGAACGACGAGAGTGGGACGACCGCGAGGTGGACAGCGGCCAGGGCGCGCACTTGGGCGCGCAAACTAAGGGGTGGGTGCGTGGCAAACCAACGGACCCAGCCCGGAAGACGTCTCAGCAGAGCAAGCTGCTGTTGACGCAATCGAATCCTTCTCAAGCATGCACGGGGTAAAACATGGTCACGCCCTGGTCCGAGTACGAGGCGGGCGGAAGCGGCTGGTTTGGCCCCGGCTGCGCGATGCTTGCGGGGTCGGCTGCAATCGCAGTCGCGCAGATGGAGTACAGGTCCATGTCCTTGAAGCGCGCCCAGACGTCCCTCGGCACCATCCGGAGGCAGTCCTGCTCCTGCATGGCGATGGTGAAGACAAGCGTCGACACGATACGCTTCATGCTCTGCGTCATGAACGAGCGCTCCGGGTCGTACTCGCCCTTCACCGGAGCATTGTAGCCCACGTAGAGGTCGATGTCGTCCGGGTGCTCGTAGACGGCGGCGAGCTTGGCGTCCCACGGTGCGGCAAACTGGTCGAAGCTGGTGATGGGAGGGAGGTGGATTGCTGCGCGCACCTGGTTGAACGACCCCACGCGCTGCCCGCGGCTGCGCTCGACAACCTTCATCTCAAAGTTGAGGAGGTAGGAGGGGGTGTTGCCGAGGGTCTGGAGCGAGGATGGCGCGACTTGCGCCGCGTGCAAAAGCTCACGCAGCGTCGGGCCCGTCGCGGCGTCGGTCCAGTTGCCGGGCTTGGCGATCCACTTCTCGGAATACGACCCGAGCGGGCCAAGCTCCTCTGGCGGCATGGCGTGCCACATGTACGACGTTTCGTACTCGAGACCCGCCGAGGCGCCCGTGAACAAGTCGCCTTTCAGATGCTTGGCCACGTTCAGGCCGGCGACCATCGGCGAGTAGCGGTTGAGCGGAACGTTGAGGGCCGCGACCTGAGCGTTGACCTCGCCCACAGTGCCGCCGTTGAGGAAGCCGACGTACTCGCGACGGACCACCTGAAAGAAGAGGAAGGTGACGAGCTGCTTCGTGCTCTCGAAGATCCGCGGCCCGTCAAACTCGGGGTGCATCTTGCGAATCTCGACCGCCAGCACGTTGTGTACCGACTGGGCGCAAGCGAGCATGAAGTACATCCCCACGTGCACGTTCGTGTGGTTGCTGCCCGAGGCCCAGACGTTGGCTTCGAGCTTGCCGAACTTCAACGGCGGGCGTGAGAGGGGCGTGAGAGGGGTATGAGAGGGGCGAGGAGGTGGACGAGCGAACACGGGCGAGGGTGTGGCGTGTGTGAGGGGTGAGGCATGCCTTGAGCGTCTCGCGAGACTCCGGGGAGAAGGGGCCATTGTCGGCGTCCATGTATCGCAGCGGCCTGCCCGAGGAGTTGACGCGGACGGTGCCGTCCTCCTTGTTCATCAGAAAGGCCTGCTGCTCCTTGGTTTGCCCGTACACGTACCCCATGTCGAAGTCGCCCGAGAAGTTGCGGGTGTAGTGCTCGCCGTCGGTCAGCACGCCGGACTGGAACCAAGAGGCGATGAAGAAATTGACCGCCCACATGGCGAGCACATTCGTGCGCGGGTTCTGCGGGGCCGGCCCGGCCGGCCACAGCGGCGGAGAGTCTCCCGTGGGCGGGACGCCGGGGCCCGTCACGCCAGCCTCCTCCAAGCGCCGCGCCCACGGCGCGGCGTTCTCACTCTCGGGGTCGCCTCGATCAAACAGCGCCTTGACCTTCTCGGGCGGTGGGAGCCGCCCGCCATCCGCTGCCCGCTCTGGCATGCGCGCGCCGCGAGTCCAGTCGAACCACTCCTCCGTCGCCTACGGCCAAAGACGAGGCACATCGGAGCGACGCTGCTCGACCGCGACGTCGTCATCACGACCTAGCACGGCGCCAGCTTGTTATACGTGTAGACCCACGGCGTGACAGCGGGCCAGCTGGGGTTCGCAGTCAGCGGGTACCAGCAACGGCCAGCGGCGAGCACGCCGGTGTACATGGTAAAGTAAGGCAAGTAACGTGCAGGGCCGTGGTGGACGAGGGAGGGCGGCATCACTCGGGTGAAGAAGTCCCAGAGCCGATCGTTTGGATCGCCGCAACAGCACGCGCACTTGATTACGGCGTCGCAAATCAGCGACACCGGCGTGCAGCAGAAAAGTCCACCCGGGCTGCAGCCAGCGGCGCAGGCAATGCCGACCGGCGCTTCGAAGAGGCAGTTCATGCAGCAGCAGCACGCCGCATCGCACGGGCGACACAGAGAAGGGCAGCTATCGGGCGGGTAGTACGAGTACTCTTCCTGGCGCGTCATCTCCGCCTGCTTGGGCGCCGCCTCCAGGCGACACTCCTCCCGCTTCTGCTTGACGTAGCCCGCGGGCGGAGGCGGGACAGTTGGTCGCGCGATGACCATCGCGCGCGGCCGCTCCGACTATAGTCGATAGTTCGATAGTTCGAGCGCGTCCGAGAGGTTGTTTTGGATCTGCGAGGGCGCAGGCGGCGGCGGCGGGCGCGCGTCAGCAGCATAAAATGGGATGAGCACGGCGCGGGCTTGTTTTGGGGGTCGCGGGGGCCGCAGTAGGCACGGTCGGAGCGCTGCAGTGGTGGTTGTGGGGCGAGGCGAGAGGACACGCGCGGGGGCAGCTCTCATCTCGCGTCGCGCCGTAACACACGATTGCACACACCGCACCGCCCCCAGCACCCCACGTGGCGGTGTTTTCTTGTTCTTGACACTTGCCCTGGCCCCGGCGTCTCGACAACCCGCTCGCCCCCGTTCGGCCCACCTCCTTCGGTCGTATGGGCGTCCTCGAGCACGACGATTACGCCGGCAAGGCGCGCGCGCTCGCCATCACTGGTCGCCCCGCCCGCGCGAGCGGTTGCCTGCGCCGCCGGCTCCTCACCCCGCGCTCCGCCTCACCGCCACAGCTGCTGTACCTCCACAGCAGCCAGTCCAGCTCGCAGCTCGTCATCGTGGCGCAGAGAAAGCTCGAGACGCAGCTGGAGAGCTACAGTGTCCCGTTCGTGAAGATCGACGGCATGGGTGCGCTGGCCCGCGCCTAACGCAAGCCCTCGCCGCGCTCGTAACTGGCGCGTGTGCGTCTGCTTTGCCCGACAGAACTTGAGAAGAAGGAGGTTCGAAAGGCGATCTGGGAAATGTCCGACCAGAAGCCGGGCACGTATCCCATCCTCGTCGACATGGTGAACGGGAAGTGCTACGCGGGCGACGACCTTCAGGCTTCGCAGGACACGGGCAGCCTGCAGACCGCGCTGACGACGTCGTATGGCAGCAGCGCGTAGTTCTCGACTAGCCCTCCTAGCCTTCAGTGGGAGAGGAGGGGCGACCGCGCGACCACGTCGCTCAGGCGTGGGGAAAAGAGGCTCGCCCCCCAAACAGTACCTCTCCCGCACTTCTCTCTGGTCTCTTAGCACCTCTAATGTGCGCGGCCTCTCCTGCCACTTGCCGCTCCTCTCTGCTCCTACCTACAGTACGTATTAAGGTCCGTTTTGGTACCGTGGCAGAAATTGTTCAAAAATGGTCGAATTTGCACGGGGTGCAGATAAGCGACTGTGGACTGATATTTCTGCTCAATTTTGGGGAGACCCAGTGGCGACGACCGTCGCCTCGGACTGGCTCGCGAACGAGCTGGCCGAGCACGGCGGAGAGATTGATGCGGCATACCGCGCGACCGCATATAGTGATGCACCTGATGACGGCCGCCGGCAATGGTTGGGTAGTAGGGCTAGAGGGTCGCTCTACACTTAGCCTCTGCAGCGAGCGAGCGCTCAACTTAGCCCCCACACGGAGCCGGGCTCGGACTTAGACGCTGTATGGTCGGGGGCCATGAACTTAGACGACATAAGGCCAACTCCGGGCAAAACCCGGGTATACCTGAAAAGCCTCCAGGTTTACCCGAAAATACCTGGACGCGTCCCACCAACGTATGCCGCGTATGCCGCGCACGACGCCATATCGCCTTCTCCCAGGGCCAGTGCGCTACTTGCGGCGCGCAACGCCTGCTCAAGTACCCCCCCCACCATGTGCTGCCGCTATGCGTGCCTTAAGGCGGCTGCGGCGAAGCGGCGGGCGCGGCATGCCGATGGCAGTGCGGACGATGCGGTTGCGATGTGTTCTGCTTCAAGATCGTGGCGGTGCTTGGCATGCACTTCTGCGATCCCAATCAGCTCATCGCAACGAAGCAGCGCAACAAGCTGGCTGCTGCCAACAAGGCCCTATGCTACCTCACGCGCGGATCGTTCAAAGAGGACCAGCACACACAGGCTTCACCGTCACGCGTTTGATTAAGCTTGAGGAGCTTCGTGTCATGTGAGAACTGTTTGGCTAGACGTCGCTCAAGAATGAAGGAGCAGCAACGAAAATCGGAAGAGGAGGATGCTGAGGCGGCGATTGCTAAGCATGAAGAGGATCCATCGCCCTCCGCAGGCGAAGAAAATTTGGGGGCTGCGCCGTATCGTTGATCACGGTGGGAGCCTCCTGGCCCCAGGCCGTGCCACGGCCGACTTAGCCGATGTAAGAGGCTCCCGCTGATCTTAGACCGCGCAAGCACTCCAGCGTGGCTAGCCACACTTAGACCCGTCCAGCCTCGAGGCTCAGAACTTAGACTACTACCCAACCAGTCCGCCGGCGCCTCGGCGCCGGCCGATGCCGTGTTCAGGTCCTAGCCAGATTGTGTATGGTGGCCATGCATTGGTGTGCGAGTGATGGCTGCTACCAGGGACCTTGGGCTTGTATTATTAACAACGAAGGCGCTCTCAATATGCCATGTCCGCCTTGCGTTGCTTCATAACATCGAAGGCTAAGCTCAAAAAGAAAAAGAAAGAACCTCGAGGTTTGAGCGTGCACGGTGTTGAGTGAGGGCGGGCTCCTCGTGGGCCCGGCCCATGAAGCTCCCGCCCGACCCTAGCGCGGCGGCCCACGACTCGCCCGTGCCTCGGTCTGCGAGATCGCCACCTCATCTGCCGCAGCTCCCAGCGGCGCTTGCGTCCCTGACATTCCTTGACGCCACGCACAGCCGAGACTTTGCCGGAAGCCTCGCACGGCGCGTAGGGCTCGTGCTCGGCGGACCCGACGCTGAAATCTGCTGGCGCATCCTTGAGGACAACTCCGCCGCAGTAGAGACGGCGCTCGAGTCAGCGCTCGAGTCAGCGCTCGAATCGGCACGCGACAACGGAGGCGGCAGCGAGGATACACTACTGCCCCCTCTCCCCGCGCGTCCGGTCGGTTCGGAGTGGTGGGGTGTGCTCCGTGATCGCGCGAGCTCCCTAGGCGCGCTGGCCGCTCGCCCGCACGCCGAGAGTGCAGACCCTCTGCGCCGTTGGGACGCGGCGCCCTATCCGAGCCGCGAGCGCTTGGAATTGGATGCGCTCGACGCGCTCGTCGAGGTGCTGGAGATCTGCGAGGGTGTGCCGACGAGAGTGCAGGAGCGCGCAGGCTTTCTGGCCAAGCCTCTGTGCTCTATCTGCTATGTGGAGGCGGTGCGGCCGGCGACGGACGACGAGATTGCCGCCGGCGTGCCGACCGTTGAGTTTGCCTTCCGCTGGCCCTGCTTCCACGAGATCTGCCAAGATTGTGCTCTCCGCGACGCGGTGGAGCAAGGGGACGCCTCTGTGCCACTGGAGGACCTGGATCTCAAGTGCCCCATCTGCCGCGAGCCGGTCGCCTGGCCGTGGTCCACCAGCGTGCCGCACGTGGCCGCCTCGCGCGGCCGAGGGGCGGGGCCCTCGCTGCTGCAGAGCAGCACCTACCGCCTTCCCGACGAGCGCCTGCTCGAGCTCATCACGCCCGAGCGCGCGCGAGAGACGAATCCGGTGGCGCCTTCCCCTTCCCGCCCGCTGAGTCCTCTCCACCTTCCTTGACGCCGCTTGCCATGCTCAGGCCGCGAGGCTTCCCCTCCACGCCGCCGCCGCCTACACCGACTCCGAGGCGGTAATTCGCCGGCTCATTGAGGTACACCCCGAGGCTGCTCGCTCGCGGACCGCGGTGCGTCCGCGGCGGGATTCAGCGGAGGGATTCGGTCTGGCGCTCACCCTCGCACCCTCTGCCCTCTTAGATCCTCGGGGAGCTCCCTCTACACGAGGCCGCGCGCTGCACCTCGTCGCCCGACGTCATACTCGCCCTCATCGAAGCCTATCCAGACGGTGTCCGCGAAGCCAACCGGGCGCGTTCCCCAAAACCGCTCCGCCCCGCTTCGGCCTCTCAAGCAGCCGACTTTGGTTGCCGCAGCCACACACACACCCGAGCGGTTTCTATCACTCCCGCGCCCAGGCTGACGAGACGCCGCTGCACAAGGCCGCCTACAACGTGTTTCTTCCGGTCGTCCGCGCGGTACTGGAGGCGTACCCCGAGGCGCTGCACATGGCGCAAGCGGTGCGGGCTGCTCCTTCCCTGCCGCGTCGCTGCCGTCGGCCGTGCCCTCACCTCGCGCTTGCTTGCTCGAGCAGGCTCCAGCCCATACCGGCCCCACACCGGGGCGTATCGCCGAGCTGCATAACCGCAATCCGGACGTGGCCGCGCTGCTGCACGAGCGCGCGGCGAGGTTCGGCTGGTTCGCTCGCTTCCCTCGCTTCCTCTCCTTTGCCTGGTGATGCCCGTGTGGCGTCGCGCCCTAGATCTGAGCGGGCATCTCCCGGCCCGCCTTCCCTAGTCCAATGGCATCCCTGCTCAGCTATAGTTCAGTTGTACGATGATGCGCGAGATTGCGCACGCACACGCTCCTATCATCATGGGGTGTTGCATGAATCTTGACACTCGAGAGTGCAGTCGAGGCATATATGCCTCGAGTGCATGTGTGCACCGTGCGCGAGCTCTGTGATACAAGAGATGGTCTGCAGTTACACAATACCTCATTTTCAATAGCTTGCGACATGCAAACTCCACATCTCTCTCAGCACTCAGGAACACAGAGGTGAGACGACATCTCCGGACACCGGTGGCCCGGTGCGCGGAGTCAGAGAGCAAGAGGACCCAAACTGTGCGGGTCTGGGTTCGGGTAGCGCGCACACACCAGTGTGGCACATGCAACGTATGACAGTGACTTGGGTACGCCTCTCCCACGGCGCGAAACAGCGCCAACGGTGGGTACATGTTCGCGGCGTGCGGAATGCCGCCGGTGGCGGCGCTGCCAGCCGCCTCGGCACAAGCGAGGCGGGCGCGTCGTGTGCGCGCGCGTGTGGCACATGCAAGAGATCCCGAGCGGCAGTGCCCATCGACAATCACGCCGGGCAGTGGCGTGCGTGTCGATGGCACTGACAGAGAGGGTGCGTGCCCCGTGCCGGGCGAGGCACCGAGGCAACATGCAGCACGGGTGCCGTGGAGGGCACCCGTGCTAGGAGGGCACCGAGCGGGGGAGTCGCCCGGCAGCGAGGAGACGAGCGCGGCGCACGAGCGCCTCACTCGTTGACGTCCATGTCCTCGGGCACCTACAGAGCAGGAGCCTGTGAACTTGATGCGAGAACGAGGCTGTGGCGAGTGCAAGGCTCGGCGCCGGCTCGGCGCGCGCTGCAGGAGCGAGGTTGGCCGCCGCGGCGGCCACCGACTGGAGCCGCTCGACCCACCTCCTCTTGAAGTCAGCGGCCGCCTACACGCAGAGCCTCCCCTCACAACGAGTCGCTGTCAGCTTGAGACGTGCGTGACGGCGTCAACCGCGCGCAGCGGCTCCAGGTCGTAGCCGCTGTCGCGCAGCATCTGTGCGAAGGCGTCGCTGCCGCCGTGCAGAAGCCGCTTCTGCTCGGCGGCGAGCTGCGAGAGGTCGAGCCGAACCGAGGAGCGCGCCTCCGCGAGGTAGACGTTGATGGCGCTGACGTCGGCGGCGGTCGGCTGCTGGCCGTACTGCACCGCAACGTGCAGCAGCGGGAGCACGTCCGGCCCGGGCAGCACGCCCGCCTCGCGCAGCGCCGCCACCTCCGGGTGCTCCTGCCACAACATGCGGACGAGCGGGGGCGACTCCACGACAAACGGGCCCGTGACCTATGGACGCTGCGAAAGGGGTGAGAGTGCAGAATTGCTGCGCAGCCGCGTCTCGTGGGCCAGCCTTGACGCCGCGGTTGTTGCAGAGGTACTCCGCGAGGGCGGTGAGCTCCGCGGGGCCGAGAGAGAGGATGCGCCGCGCCATGTCGTGGACGACAGCCACGCCGCCCCAGCGCTGCCAAGCAGTGCGAAAGGCCTCCGACTCGACCACCTTGAGCAGCGCCTCGCGCTCGGTGAGCAGCACCTAGGGAGAGTTGCGAGGAAAGGGTGAGGAGAGAGTGGGCAGAGGCCGGCCAGCTCCATCTCGCGCCTCGGCCGCGCCCGCCGCCGCGAGGGTCACCTCGGCCACCTCCGCCGCCTCCGCCGCCTCCTCCACGGCGGCTGCGTGTGCGGCCTCAGCGGCTTCGAGGGCGGCTGCCCCCTCGCTCGAGCCTGCCGCCGCCGCTGCCGCCACGTGCAGGTTGATCGAGGCGGCGTCGGCGGCCGCTGCAGCCTCGGCCCCCGCGTCGGCGGCTGCCTGCTGCGCGGCAGGCGCGGGTGCCCAGCGGAAGAGCACCTTCTCGACCGACGGCGAGCGCAGCCGCGGCCCCCCCCACGCAGGGACGAAGGGCCGGAGCGCGAGCTCCGAGCGCTTGCCGACCTGCCGCAGCGGGAAGCACACCCTCCACTCGCCCCGGACTGGCGAGTTTGGGGCCGCCGGGTGGTCGACGCCGTGCGGCCGCCATGGCACACCCAGCGAGCCCCCCGCGCGCAGCTCCGTAGTCAGCGCGCCCAGGCCCGAGCGCATGATGCCAGGCGCGCCAGTGGAGAAGGTGCCAAGCGCCTTCGCCATGTTGCGTGTGTTGATCGTGGCGCCCGGCACCTTGCCGGCGTAGAAGAAGCGGAAGACGCCTAAATCGAGAGCGGCGCGTGGGTGAGGGCGGCACGGTCGGTGAAGACAGCTCATCGGACAGGCCTGTCTCGGACACGTGGCGAAGTGCGGAGGCGATGCGGAGGTTGGCGTCGTACTCGGACACGTAGGCCTCTTGCTGGTAACGAGCGTCGGCGACGTGGACGATCTTGATGAAGGGGACGCGGCGGATGCGCGTCACGCCGCTGCTGTCGGTCACGAAGGTGTACTCGATGGCTGCCCAAGTGCTCTGGAAGGAGATGTACGTGAGGTAGGGTGCGGCCGCGAGCGCGCCGACCCAGGCCGGGCCGAGGGTGGCGTGCTGCGCGTGCAGCCAAAAGACCTCGTGCGCGTACTCGCTGAGCCGCACCTGCAGGTACGGAGTGGGGAGAAGAGGGGTGGCCTCGTGGGGAAGAGAGGAGGAGAAGAATCTCGGCTGGAATGTTGGCGGAATCTCGGTGGAATCTCGGCGGAATCTCGGTGGAATCTCGGTGGAATCGAAACGGAATCTCGGCTGACCTGCCACGCCGCCCACCCGAGCGAGCCGACGCTCTTGCCCGCGAGGAAGGAGAGGAGGCGGAGGCCAAAGGCGGCCATGCCTCGGTCGTCGCCTGCCGGACAGGGAGGGGAGGGCGAGTTGGGGTGGAGGGGTGTGCATGGGGCTGTGGAGGCAAGAGGGCGGGGGGGGGAGGGACGCACAACAGATGACGCATATGATCGCGGGCAGGAAGTGCAGGCAAAGCAGGTATCCCATCTTGACCATCGAAGGGTGGCCGACGAGGAGGCCGAGCTGGTAGGTGGTGATGCCGGGGACGATGAAGGAGAGGCAGATGCCCGTATACTTGAGCAGCCAGAGGAGGTTGCGGAGCAGCGTGATCAGCCCGGCCTTCACAAATGAGAGCGGCGCCGGGCAATGCCAGCCAGGGATGCGCACCTGTTGGAAGCAGGTGAGGCGTGGGGTGTGTGGGGAAGGGTGGGTGGGTGGAGGGGCGGGCGGGAGGGGCGGAAAGGGCGGGTGCGCGCCGTCTGGCTCGCGAGCAGCGGCAAGCAGTGGAGCACGCTGCCCGACGCGGAGGCGATGGCGCGCTGCGGCAGCTCAATGAAAGAGTTGTGGGTCCACTCTGCCGCGCGGCTGAAGATGAAGAGCATCGAGGAGAGCAGGGACGGCAGCAGCAGGAACTGGAAGATGCCAATCGGGAGCTTCGTCGTTTTCAACTGCACCGCTGGCGCAGCCGCGAGCCGCGCACGCTCCTCTTGCCGCGCGACCATCTGCTTCCCCATGTCGCTCCGCGCCACGGCCAGGGCGGCGTGGCCGAGCGAAGAGAAGCCGCCAGGAGGGAGGAGCAGCCAGCGGTCGGCGTCGCTGAGGAGGCTGAGTACATTGTCACGGCTGTGACGAGATCCGCACACGGCATCAACAAGGGCGCTGCCGTTCACGTAGAAGCGGCCGCCTCCGCCGCCTGCGACAACCAGTCTCTTGAAACGCGAGAGGTCAACGTGCTCCTTGTCGGCCGCCTCCGCCGCCTGCCCGTCCGAAAGGTCATCGCCTCGCTGGTCCACAGCTGCCTCTCGAAGCTCTTCCTCGGCTCCCATCTGCTCGCGCACAGCAACGCAAGCATCGAACAGCGTGTCGAAGGACTGGTAGGACTGGACAGACGCAACGGCATCGGAGGGCAGGTGGACACCGAAGGGGCGGGCCTTGAGGCGGCGGTCGAACTGGATGAACTTGGCGCCCGTTTCGGACTGGGCCCTCAGCAGAGAGCCCAGGCCACGCCGCTGCATCTCGGCATCCACTCCGGCGAGCACGCTCTCGCGGCGAGGCCAGTCGATAAAAGCGACGCCTTCCGGCGGCCTGCCCTCCTCAGCTGGCGTCGGGCGGGGGCCGAACTTCTTGACCTCGGCGCGAAGCCTCTGCTCCTGCGCCTGAGCCTCTCGGCACTCGCGCAGCTCGGCCGCCGTGGCTCTGGCGCTCGCCTTATCACGCGCGTGCTGACGCGCGTCTTGCCGACGAGACGACCGTCGCATCATGGCGCGGCGCCAGCGGGGCGAGGCGGCGGGAGCGAGGTAGCGAGGTGAGCTGGGCAAAGGCGGCAAATGCTCCGAGGATTCGGTCTTTGCCGTTGGTATGGCGGCGCCGGCGGAGGCCCCCCCTCGAGAGAGAGAGAGAGAGAGTCTCTCTCTCTCTCGCCCCCCCTCCCAACAACATACCTACAACTCCCCCTCTCCGGAGGCGAGCATCAGAACCGCGGCGCCGAAAAGAACTCTGCCATCGAAAAAGAACTCTGCGCGCGAGGTGTGCACAAACAGGTGTGAGAGAGAGAGATCTTTGAAAACCAACATCCAACAAGAAATATTCTCTTCAAGGTGTGTGGGCAGGGCAGCCAGGTGGGAGACTTGAAATGCTGCCGCCTGGCAGGCGGAAGCACGGAACACGCACGCGCTTGCGGATCCATTTCCCTGCGATACGCAGAAAAACTGCTTCTCCTCCTCAGTATGCGGCTCCCAAGGACCGAGCAACTTGTTGCCGTGCGCCTTTTATTGCGTCCGAGGGAGACGCGGCACGAAAATACGAAATGGAAAGGCCCAGGAGCGACAATGGGCCGCGCAAGGCATTTAATTTTTCCAAACCGTCCCGAAACGTGTTCACGACAATGCGTTGTGAAAGTCTCAATTAGTAATCGACCGTCCATCATCGGCATTGCGCATCTCTCGCCGCGCTTGTGGCCCGCGCATATATGCCCCGAGGCAGTAAAGCTGCCCGCAATGCCAAGCGGGCCTCAGACATCGCAGCTGTTGTCAACACCATCAGTGAAGAAGAACGTGCCGACTATGCTGCTTTGCCTGAGCTCCACGTCTGTGGCGCCGCCGCCTTAGTCTCCAAGCGGCCGAAGCACCTAAGGACAGCAGTCCTCAAGGTCAAGCACTCAATCGAGTACGTTGACAGGAACTGGCATAGGCTCAAGCTCACCCAAGAGGAAGGGGATCAAAGCAAGCCGACTGTTGACTACGGCGGCTTCAACTGCATCATGAATCACTACGCCCGCCCGGAGGGCAGCACCATGCCAGCTGGTACTCTCGTACGTGGCTCACGTGCCTGCTTCAAGTCTCGTAAATCAGAAACCTCCCTACCAGACAATGGCAAGGAGTATGCAGATATCATGAGAGCAGCAGCAGTGTCTTTGGTCACAACACGGTTTGTGGCTTGGATGATGCGCTTTGCCTTCTTCTGCTTGACGGCCGCGGTAACCAAGCACACTGATGACAACACCAGGGGCTCACAGCCCAATGCCATGCTCTGCTTGGAGGAGGGAGGGGAGATGACTGAAGACCAATCAGTCAACTTTCGATGCTCTCTCATGCTGTACCATGACAGATACATCTTGCCTGTGGCCCTCAGGCCCTCAAAGTGGCGATTTGTTGCGTGGGACAATGCTGGGGTTGCTAGCATCACAGAGGAGCCAGAGGCAGACTTTTGGCTAGCACTGCAGAAGAGACAGCTAACAACTATTGGGCTTCTGCAGGTTTGCATGGTGGAGCTGAGCGGAGGGGTGGTCAGAACCTGCCCACTAGTTGACTTGGACGACCCCGCAACCCACCAGCTGCCAGCATCAGCAGCGGAGCTCAGCCCTCTCTCTCTGGAAGAAGCCTTATCACAGGCCCAGTCTCACCCATGGGTACCACAACCAAACCCAATCAGGAAGGTGACGTGTGAGCCCAAGAAGTGGTATGTCTTCTTTGGCTGGAGGTACATTCACTGGTACTCAGGCAACCCAGCTATCCGACGGATTCATGCCTTCTCCTGCCCTCTCAGAAGCATTCCAACTGGACAGACCAGGAGGGCCAGTGAACCCACCTACTTGCCCCCTGATCACTTTGAGGATACAGCCACCAGAGCTCTGACAGCTGGGCAGAAGTGGCAGCCCATTCCTGCGCAAGAGGGTGGGCTGACTTGCTGTGCCTGCTCCCAGGGAGAGCAGGTGGCAGGGCTGAATGAGCTCTTGTGCTGCAAAGACTGCCACACCACCATGCACATGCAGTGCTTAGCCCCTCCCCTGATGCAGCCTCCAGTGGCTGGCTGGAGATGCTCTGCCTGCTCAGCAGCCAGAAAAAGGCAGAGGGTAGGGCAACCTGGGTCCTCAACACAGCCTCTCTCTGAGTATGAGCTTGAGCGTGCCAAGAGTATCAAGGCAAATCAAGCCAAACTAGTGGAGCTGGGACTGGACTGATGTGGCAGAGAGAATAAAAAGAATTCCAGCGTCGGAAAAAATCACGCCAGCCAGCTCGTGCTTTTCTTTATCTGTGGAGTGCAGCAGTGGAGATAGACTGGAGTGACCTTCTGTGAGCGTCGAAAAGTAAGCTGGTACTTCGAGAGTGGAGAGAGCTCGCGGAAAGCTTTTACATGGTATGTTTCCCGCCCGAACGCCGATCTTCGGCCGCCTGGAGGCCCAGGACGGGGCTCGGGACCGGCCAGGTGTGGATTCTCCTCGGCGCTGCGGTGTATCTGCGCGCCCATGGCGCGTTCAGGGGTGCGTCTGAGGCGTGTAGACTGCGGGGCGCCGCGATAGCGCGGCGCCGACGATTGTGTCAGCTCACTGTCACACCGTCGACACGGTCACAGTGTGTGTGCAGTGCGTCCACTCCGGCGACCGTGACGCCGTCGGTTCTCGCCTATACCGGCCAGTGTGGAGCTATCAGTGTGGTTGCGTGTTGTACTAGTGATGCTGCACTAGGCGGCCCGTTTTTAGCAAAAACCAGATACCAAATCGCGTGTGGTCGTCGAAAAACCGCATCTTCGCCCGTTTGGGACCTCTTCGTACGGCTCCAAAAACCGCTCCTTAACGACGGCTACGCGGCCCGGCGGTCGATCTGCGCCTGCTCAGCGGTGGAGGGGATGTGGGCGGTGTGTGCGTACCGCGTGGTGTTGCGACGGTTTGACGATTGCGACTCCCAGCGTCGACTTTTCGACCCCACGGAGCCTCTGCTGCCGGGTGTGTTCGATTGTAAAAAATCGGCCATAGGGCGCCCAGGGGCCGCCCCCGGCCGCCCGCGCGCACAAAAAAATACTCCTCCGCCCCGAACGCCCCCAGAAAACAACATACTAGCCCCACAAGCGTCACGAGTTTACGAGAGTACTCAAAATAAATTCCTGGAGTGCCCGGCCGCGCCGGCAGCAGGCCGCCGTACGCGTGCGGAAAACGAGCCGCCGCCGTCGATCGCTCTCGAAGAGCGTGGCGCAGCTGCCCATTCCCGGTGACCATAGCACGAGTTGAGTCGCCAGGGCCTCACCTGAAGGGGGGCGGGGCAGGGGCGAGGGGATGAGGACGAAACCAAGCGTCCGGGGCCCTGCCGGAAGGTGGTGGGCGAGGCGTGGACGCACCTAAAATACGAGCAAGTAGCGGCGACGGCGAGGGGGAGGCGACGGCGAGGCGGATGGAGGCGGTGGCGGCGGCGAGGCGGAGGATGGCGGCGGCGAGGACGAGGTCGACGGCGGCGGCGGAGACGGCGAGGACGACGGCGGCAGCGGTGAGGGCGAGGCCGACGGCGGCGGTGGCGGGGGTGAGACGGAGGGCGGCGGCAGCAACGGCGAGACGGACGGCGGCGGTGGCGAGGGGGGGGCGGACGGCGGAGGCGGTGACGGCGACGCGGACAGCGGCGGCGGCGGTGGCGACGCGTAGGGAGGCGGCGGCGACGCGGAGGGAGGTGGCGGCGACGGCGAGGTATCTACATGAACGGCGGCGGCGAGGGCGAGGCGGAGGGAGGCAGAGACGAGGGCGAGGCGAGGAAGGCGGCGGTGACGGCGAGGTCGATGGCGGTGGCGGCGGCGGCGAGGTCATCGGCGGCGGCGGCGGCGGTGGTGGTGGTGGTGGGGGGGGGGGGGGGGGGGCAAGGCCGACGGCGGCGGAGGCGGCGAGGCGGGAGGGCGGCGCGGCGGCGGGCGGCGAGGGCGAAGCGGATGGCGGCGGCAGCGACGGCGAGACGGACGGCGGTAGCGGCGAGGGCGAGGCGGAGGGCGGTGGCGGTGACGGCGACGCGGACGGCGACGGCGGCGACGGGGATCCGGAGGGGGGCGGCGGCGATGGCAATGCGGAGGGAGCCGGCGGTGGAGGGCGAGGTCGGCGGCGCGGCGGCGGCGGCAGCGGCGAGGCGGAAGGAGGCGGCGGCGGTGGCGGCAAGGCGGAGGGAGGCAAAGGAGACGGCGAGGCGGAGGGAGACGGCGGCGAGGGCGAGGGCGATGGCGGCGGCGGCGGCGGTGAGGTGGAGGTAGGGAGGGGGCGGCAACGGCGAGGCGGAGGGAGGCGCGAGGGAGGCGACGGCAACCAAGGCGGAGGTAGGCGAGAGCGAGGCCGACGGCGGCGGAGGCACGGCGAGGCGGGGGGCGGCGGCGGCAATGGCGAGACGGAGGGCGGCGGCGGCGAGAGTAATGCGGACGGCGGCGGCGGTGACGGCGACGCGGACGGCGGCAGCAGCGACGGCACGGACGCGGAGGGAGGCGGCGGCGACGGCGAGGTCGACGGCGGCGGCGGCCGCGGCGGCGAGGAGGAGGGAGGCGGCTTCGAGAGGGCGAGGCGGAGGGGAGGCGGAGGCGAATGCGAGGTCGACCGCGGCGGCAGTGGCGGCGAGGCGGGCGGGAGGTGGCGGCGGGGGCGAGGCGGAGGGCGGCGGCAGCGGCGGCGAAGCGGAGGGCGGCAGTGGCGAGGGTGGCGTTCTCTAAGTTGGAACAATCGGTTCCACATATCGGGACATCCCCCTCTAGGCGACGGGGAGGGTGCCGGTCCCGGTGCCTACACCGAGGAGGTTGAGCGGTGGATTCAGACCCTGCCCCCTCGCCACTACGACATCCGGAGACCGGACGCCCGGCTGGTGAACCCGACTTTTGAGTTTTGTGTGTTTCGAGGGAGCTGATCCTCTCGCCGGTGACGCGCAGTGTGTGTGTGTGCGATCAGTGCACTGTCTCCGAGCTCTATTCCCAAGCCAAACAAACCCGCCTGCGCGACACAGCACCAAGCGAACGAGCGGACACTCTCACACCGCCTGCACAGCTCACACGCCTGCATGAGCTCTCAGAGCTGCATGAGCTCTCAGAGCGAGTTGACGCGGCGGCTCACCGCACGGGCCGTGCCGGCCGTGACGAGCTCTTCAGGCCGCGTGTAGGACCCCTGTGGCCGCGACTCCTCAGCCTGCCGGTCGTACGACGCTCTCGACGCTGCGGAGCGCTTCGTGTACTCTCCGCCGACATAGCCCAGGTCTCCGGCCTCCTCACGGAAGCGGCGCTTGGAGTCGATGTCTTCTTCGATCGCGCGGTACACGGCGCGCTCCTTCTCCTTTCCTGTCGCCTGCCACGACTGCGACTGCACCGCTGCCTGTTGCATCGCATAGGAAGCCGCCGCCGGCCGGGCCGTCAGCAGCGCGAGCGCCGGCCCCAGGGACAGGGCGGCGCGGCGACCGGCAAAGAGAGAGTGAGCTGACGAGAGTGAGTGGATTGGCATCGAGCCAGGCGTCGTCAGTGTAATGCCGATGAGAATGGTGCCATTTCTGCCCCGAACCGGATTTCAGATGTTGTGCGGTGCGGCACCCATAATCTTTTCACCACCAAATACAGGGGGGGGGACCCCCCCCGGGGGTTTGAATTGTTTTTTTTTTTTTCCCCCACCCCCCCCCCCCCCAACCCCCCAACCCCCCCCGGGGGGTTTCCCTCCCCTATACTCCGTCTCGCGCGTGATCGCGAAGCGCAGCACGCACGTGACAAAGTCGCGCGCCGCGATGCCGTTCGTGTTTCCTGCCGAATCGAGAGACTTCGGATCAAGCGGCGCCCAGCGCGGCGGCATACTTTGTGTTTTCTTTCTTTGGATACCCGTCACTGAGCCGACAATGCTACGGGTAGCCCCAGGGTGGCGCCCACCCCCATACCCTCGGGCACTTGCCTGCGCCCTCACGCGCTAGCCTACGCCCTGTCCCGCAAGATCTCACTCCATCCCGGCCTGCGGCATACCTCGGCACCCCCTTGCACGGAATCTGAGCGTGAGGGAATCTGAGCGTGAGGGAATCTGAGCGTGAGGGAACCTGGGAAGTGCCGCGTAGTGCGGCGTGCGCGCGGGCGTGCGCGCGGGCGTGCGCGCACGTGCGCGCACGTGCGCGGGCGGCGCGTAGTGCCGCGTAGTGCCGCGTAGTGCCGCGTAGTGCGCGCGCGTGCGCGGCGTGCGCGGGCGTGCGCGTTGCCCTCGGAACACTGTGTCAATACTGTCCCGTTTTGCTGTTCACAGCTAGGGACGGCCTCTGCAAAGTCAAGCCACCCCACCACCACCTACCTACCTACCTCCCACCGCAGCAAACCTTCGGCTCCCGCTCAGAGGCTCGCCGGGCCCGTGCTGCGCGCCGAGGCGGCGCCGAGGCCGGCGCCTTGCACCCGGCCCGCGGCCGGCACCGCCTCGCCCCACAACTGACCGCCCTGCGGCCCCTGCGCAGGCGTGCCGCAGGCATCGCTCAAAAAGCGACGGCCGGGTGTGGGCTGCTCCCTTGCCCCGTCACCCGCCGCGCCCTCACCCGGCCGCCTCACCGCGCACGGAGCGCTCGGCTGCTCGCCGCCGCCGCCGCGCGTCCCGCGCCGCCACGCTTGCCCCCCCTTGCCGGACGCGCGCTCTGTGCAGCGGCGCAGAGCGCTCGTCCCTGGCACAGTCGGAGCAGCGACCGCGCCAGCGGTCGCTGCTCCGCCCCTCCGTCGCGCGCGCCGCGCGCGCGCTGCCGCCGCCGTCGCCGCCGCCAGCCATCACTTTGTTGGTTTAGTAAACCCCACCTTCACCCATCACTGTGAGAGTCGTGATTTCTTGTTTTGGTTAATAAAAATCTCTCCCATGCAGTGATTTTTTTAGTTTCCCATAAGGAAGGTAGGTAGGTAGGTAGCTAGGTAGGGGCAGGGCAGGGGCCGGCCAGGTTTTTGCAGAATTTCATCATGACGTACGGCCAAGCAAAAATACTACACACTTGCGGTCGGTGTTTTTCTGTGAACGATTCCCTGGGACCCCGTGTTGCATGTCACTGTCATCACTGTGCGATTTCGGGGCCCGGGGTTGTGCGTTTACGTGTGGGATTTCGCGCAATCGCTTGCGGCCGCACACTGCTCGGTACCCCCCCCTGCACACCTGGGAGCCCCCCGCCCCCCCAGCAGCAGAGCCCTGGTCCCCTCCAACCCACCCTCGAACTAGCCGGGCAGTCGCGGGAGAAGCAGAAGGGGTACACATCGTCGCGGAAAACACGCCTGCGTGGATCGCGTTACACCAAATCCTCGAGGACGCGGACGCGAGAAAAGCGCCGGTGTTCCCTCAAATGTTTCATTCCGACGAGTTCCATGGAAGAGTTTGCCAGAAGAAAAAGTTTGGTGAAGATCGTTTGCGAATGCTTTCCAAACCGAAGCTCAATGAAGAGCCCCGGCGCCTGGTTGTTGCACTCACCTGGTTCTCCCTTCATGCCACCTCGCGGTCGTCCCACTCTCGTCGTTCTCTCCCCTGTCGCTTCCTCCTCTGTCACGTCGCTCTCCTCTGCACACACACACACACACACACACACACACACACACACACACACACACACACACACACACACACACACACACACACACACACACACACACACACACACACACACACACACACACACACACACACACACACACACACACACACACACACACACACACACACACACACACACTACTGGTGTCTTCTTGCTTTTTTTCGTGGGCCGCGAAACTGTTTTTCTGTGAACGATTGCCACGGCGCCTGGGTTTGTGCACGTTAGATTTAGAGGAAAGAGACTCAAGTTGCCCCTCTCCCGGCGCCCCCCGCGATGCGGCGCGTGTTGGCCTTTGCGCGAGCGTGCCCGGCCGCTTCGCCCCACATCCCATGCGCTGCAGCGCGCTCGTGCTGTGCCCGCCGTGCTGCGAACGCCCCGCCCCGCGCGCGGCTCGCTCTCCAAGGCTCAAGCGACCTATGTGGTGCACACCCGGATCGCGGGCAGAGCGACGACCCAGCGCGCAGCCGCGAATCGCCTCCATGCCTACTGCGCCCCCTCGACGCCCGAAGCGAGTCCGCGCCATACTCCTCCCATTTGCGATGCTGACGCTCGCCCGCCGTCACCTGCGCAGATCCACCAAACAAGGTGGGACGAGGGGAGCCGCCGCGGCTTCTTGCAGTTGGGCCTCAAGCTACGTACGCTGCGAGTAGGCGCGGCGCCCTTGACCCCCCCCCCCCCTCTCGACCCCCCCTCTCAATGAGGAACTCAGCCCACTACCACTCGCCATCCACCCCTCGCAGGTACGAGTCGACTCGATCAACATCATGTCAGAGAACGCGCGCCCGCCCGACCCGCCGACGTCCCCCAACGTCGTCACCAACAAAGCGCCGGCTCTCAAGCCGGTCACCAAAAAAGCGCCGGCTCTCAAGCCGGTCACCGGCGCAGCGGAGGAGCCCGCCCCGGCGGTGAGCGCCTTGCATTCTGCGCCGTGCGTCTGCCGACCAGCTCCTCCACCCGCCCTGCTTTCACTGCGTAGGGCGACGCCGATTGGGCCGCCTCGGCGGCCAAGGAGTTTCCAGCGGAGGAGCCCGTCCCGGCGGTGAGCGCCTCGCACGCCGCGGTGCTGCACGCGCAGAGCTCAACTATTGACGCACCCACCGCTTGCGCGCGCCCAGGGCATCGCCGACTGGACCACCCCGTCGAACCCGCGCCGCAAGAAGCGCCGCAAGAAGGGGCGCAAGGGCGCGTCCGCCCCGATCGTCCGCACCAAGAGCACCCCGGTCGGCGGCAGCAACGGGTTCGGATGCCTGCTCGGAACGGACGGCAACGAGGGCATCCTCGGTGGCACCGGCAAGGTGACCGGCGGCTCCACGCCGCCGACCGCAGACTCGGTGCTCGTCGCCTGCATATTCGGCCTCCTCCCCCGCTCGCCGCTCTCACACGGCCAGTCTCGCGCCCTCTTGTTCAGGGCGCGACGGTCGACGTCGAGACGACCACGATCATCACGCCCGAGGGCTCTGCCGCCGGCCGGTTCTCGTGGCCAAAGTCCTACAACTTGCTCCGCCTCTTTGGCATGCTCGCGCTGCTCTGCCTCGGAGCCGGGTTTGCGCACTCCTCGTGCTCTGCCACCGCCGCGCTTCTCTCCTCGCAGCGGAACGACTCCCCGTGGCCGACATCGCCTCTCGCGACCGTCGCAAAGCCGCTCACGCCGGCATCGCCCAACGGCTTCTGCGAGGTTGGCGGCAACGACACCAGCTCGTTTGCAACCATCGCGTCGACGGACAGCGCGCCCGCCAACCACCCGGTGCGCGCTCGCTCGCGCGTGCTAGTATCCGCAAGCTCGCGACTAACAGCCCGCGCGCCGTTCAGGGCGGACGCGACGAGGGGCGCTCGTGGGAAGCACTGATAAACGAGATTGGCGAGGCGGTGGGCGAGCCGTTGCACCTAATTGGCGAGCCGCTGGCGTCCGTCAAGGAAATTTACGAGAAGCAGCCGGTGAGCGCCCCTCTGGCTCTTTCTATGTGCGAGCTTTGCAACCCGCTGACGGAACGATTGCCTGTGTGTTTGCGAGTAGGCCGAGGCCGACTTGGAGACCGTCCCGGCCTCGCGCAACAGCATGGAGCGCAAGGGCGAGCCTGAGATCGACCTCGTCGGTTCCGTCTACAGCAACAGGACGGGGATCATCGCTCGGGGACGCGACATCGTCTGGCCCGTGAACGACACGTCGCCCGAGTTGCGGCCCGCCGACGCTGGGAAGCCTGGGATGTTGGAGGTGCGGAAGCTGGTCGAGACTGGCCTCGGCGCGCCCGTCGCTAGCATGCACGCCGGTGGCGAGTGGCGGGCGAACGACGGATTGACGGACGCTTCTCGAGTCCCAACCAAGGATCTCTTCCTCCAGCGTTGCCAGGCCATCGAACCTCTTCTCGCGGCCACGCTAGAGGAGCCGGCGTGGCCTGCAGAGGTCAGCACCGTCGCCGACTCGAACGCGGTCGAGTCAGACATCTTCTCGGTCCCAAGTGTGTGCGCCGACTGGCAGCCGCACTGCGCCGCCCTTGCGTGGCACGTGGAGCCTCGCCACGCGCTCCGCCACGCGCTCACCGACGAGCGCTCCAAGACCGACAAGCCTCCCACGGGCCCACCGGCCGACGAGCGCTCCATCGAGCTGCCCTCCCCGTTCCACTTTCCCTTCACGAGCGGAACCTCCTCTTCCGCGCCTGGCCGCGCCCGGCAGCGCGGTCAGCTTTGGGCTGCCTTGTTCTTGCTGCTCGGAGCGTGCTGGTGCGGCGTGCTGCTCTCGGTGCGGAGGAGCAGCTCGGGGCGCCTCGTGCGGTGCCGGACGGGGTCGAGGCGCGGCGCGTGTTTGCTTTTCCTCGTCGCGCTGCTCCCGCTGGCATGTGCACCGTCGTCGCCGCCGCCGCCGCTGGCCCCCGGCTTTGTCGCCGCGGAGAGCGAGGCCGAGCTCCGCAACCTGATCGAGGACGCTGCTTTTTCGGAAGCTGACGTCTCAATCTACCTGCCGCCCAGGGCAGACTTCAAGCTGGGCAGCCAGATCAGCTGCTCGTCCGACATCAAGGTGACCGTCGCGAGCAGCGGCGAGGGCGCGACGCTCGACGGCCAGGAACAGACCGGGCTCTTTTACCTCTCGGGCGGCTGCAGCCTCACCCTGCGGGGGCTGACCCTCGTCAACGGGAGGAGTGCAGGCAGCGGCGGCGGTGTTGTGTACGCTTACGGCGCAGGCGACGTCGAGATCATCGAGTCGACGGTCAGAGACTGCTCCGCTGTCTATGTGCGCCGCGTAGAGCTAGCCTCCCTCCAGCAGCGCCGCACGGCAGCGGGGCGAGAGAAGCAGAGGGCCACGGCTGCCTCACCCCGCTCTCTCCTCGCAACCGCAGAACGGCGGCGTCGTCTACGCGTGGAGCAGCGGTGCGGTCTCGATCATCGGCTCGGCCGTGACGAGCTGCTCGGCTGGCTATGTGCGCCGTGTAGAGCTAGCCTCCCTCCAGCAGCGCCGCATGGCAGCGAGGCGAGAGATCGAGAGGGCCACGGCTTGCCTCACCCCGCTCTCTCCTCGCGACCGCAGTCCGGCGGCGTGGTCTACGCGTATGACAGCGGTGCGGTCTCGCTAACCGGCTCGACCGTGTCGGGCTGCTCTGCTAATGTGCGCCGCGTAGAGCTAGCCGCACTCCTGCAGCGCAGCACGGCAGCGGGGCGAGAGATAGAGAGGGCCACGGCTGCCTCACCCCGCTCTCTCCTCGCAACCGCAGAACGGCGGCGTCGTCTACGCGTATAACAGCGGTGCGGTCTCGATAATCAGCTCAAATCTGACGAGCTGCTCTGCTTCTTATGTGCGCCGCGTAGAGCTAGCCGCGCCCATGCGGCGCCGCACGGCAGCGGGGTGAGAGAGAGAGAGGGCCACGGCTGCCTCACCCCGCTCCCTCCTCGCACCCGCAGAACGGCGGCGGCGTCTACGCGATTGGCAGCGGTGCGGTCTCGATAAGCGGCTCGACCGTGTCGGGCTGCTCGGCTACTGTGCGCCGCGTAGAGCTAGCCGCACCTCTGCAGCGCCGCACGGCAGCGGGGCCAGAGATGCAGAGGGCCACGGCTGCCTCACCCCGCTCTCTCCTCGCAACCGCAGGACGGCGGCGTCGTCTACGCGATTGGCAGCGGTGCGGTCTCGATCATCGGCTCGGCCGTGACGGGCTGCTCGGCTGGCTCTGTGCACCGCGTAGAGCTAGCCGCGCCCATGCAGTGCCGCACGGCAGCGGGGCGAGAGATGTAGAGGGCCACGGCTGCCTCACCCCGCCCTCTCCTTGCAACCGCAGGACGGCGGCGTCGTCTACGCGAATGATAACAGCGGTGCGGTCTCGATAATCGGCACGACCGTGACGAGCTGCTCTGCTTCATATTATGTGCGCCGCGTAGAGCTAGCCTCCCTCCAGCAGCGCCGCACGGTAGCGGGGCGAGAGATAGAGAGGGCCACGGTTGCCTCAACCCGCTCTCTCCTCGCAACCGCAGAACGGCGGCGTCGTCTTCGCACAGTACAGCGGTGTGGTCTCGATAATCGGCTCGAACGTATCGGGCTGCTCGGCTGGCTTTGTGCGCCGCGTAGAGCTAGCCGCACCCTGCAGCGCCGCACGGCAGCGGGGCGGGAGATGGAGAGGGCCACGGCAGCCTCATCCCGCTCTCTCCTCGCAACCGCAGTACGGCGGCGTCGTCTACGCGTCTAACAGCGAGCCCCTCTCCATCGCGGGTATCGACTTCATCGACAACAGAGCGGACGGGTCAGGCTCGGTGCTGTTCCTTTCAAACACGCCCTCCTCGATCAGCGACGCCTCCTTCACCGGCAACACCGCTGGCGACGACAACGACGGTGCCACGATAGAGACAGTCAACTCGCCGATAAACTGGGACTGCCGCTTGGGCAGCTGGATGCCGCGCAAGGGCTCCTTTTTTGGCGACTTCAGCGTCCCCGAGTGCAACCTCTGCCCTGCTGGCTACTACGGGAACACGAGCGGCCTCACCAACTCCTCCTGCGATGGTGCGTGTAAGCGAGGCCACTTTTGTCCCAAGGGCACAGCGGAACCGCTCCCGTGTGCGCCTGGTTTCTACATGCCCGCGATAGGCGCAGCCAGTGCCGAGTCGTGCCTCCCTTGCTCTCCGGGGACGAGCCAGTCCACAGCCGGCGCGGTCCACTCCTGCGACGAGTGCCCTCCCGGCACGTTCGCCGATCAGCTCAACGCCACCAGCTGCACCGACTGCCCCGCGGGACGCTTCTGCCCGAATGCAGGCACCATCCAGCCCCTCGACTGTGCCGCAGGGGAGTACCAGAACCTCACCGGCCAGGCTGCGTGTGTGAAGTGCCCTGCTGGCGAGTTTCAGACGGAGCGCGGGCAGACGTCGTGCGATTTGTGCGCCGCGGGTGGGTACTGCGAAGTCACAGACGACTGTGGCGGCGGCTTCACGCCCTGCCTTGCGGGGAGCTACAACGAGAAGACGGGCAGCAGCTCACCCGACGCCTGCCAGCAGTGCCCCCCCGGAACCTCTAGCCCGATCACCGGCGCAAACAGCAGCGAGACCTGCGCGAGCTGCCGTGCTGGGACGTTTGGCGGCGAGCCCGGGCTGAGTGAGTGCACGGACTGCCCTCCGGGCAGTTATCAGAACGATACGGGCGCGACGTCCTGCCGCGAATGCGAGAAGGGAAGCTACTGCGCCAAGGGCGCGTCGGCGCCGCTGCCTTGCGACGCGGGTACCTACTCGGACAAGACGGATCTCACCGCCGCCTCGCAGTGCGTCGACGCCTCGCCGGGCCACTTTGCCACCACCGGCTCCACAGAGCAGACGCCGTGTCGCGAGGGTAGCTTCGCCGCCAAGGCGCGCAGCGAGGCCTGCGAGCTGTGCGGCCAGGGCTACTACCAGAGCGAGCCCGCCGCCGCTGCCTGCGTCCGCTGCGCTCCCGGCAAGTTCTGCCTGGTGGGGTCGTCGCGCGAGCTGGACGCGCAGTGCGCGGCGGGCACGTACGCCAGGCTGACCGACCGGAGCGGCGACCCCGAGTGCCTCACCTGCCCCGCCGGCTCGTCGTGCGGCGGCGGGGCGGCGCCGCCCTCCGAGTGCTCGCCGGGCTCTTTCGCCGCCACGGCCGGCCTCTCCGAGTGCGCCAGCTGTGCGGGCGGGACGTACCAGGGCGAGTCGAACGCGACCAGCTGCCTTTTGTGCGACATGGGCAGCTACTGCGAGCCGGGCGCGTCGCGGCCGTTGCCGTGCGAGGGCGGTTCCTACTCGGACAAGACGAACTTGTCGGCCGCCTCGCAGTGTACGCCCGCCGATCCGGGGCATATCGCCGCCCGGGGCGCCACGGAGCAGACGGCGTGCGACAAGGGCAGCTTCGCAAGCGGCACGCGCAACGAGGTCTGCGAGCTGTGCGCCGAGGGATCCTACCAGGGCGCGACCGCCGCGAGCGAGTGCACCGACGCCTCGCCGGGCCACTTCGCCACCACCGGCTCCACGCAGCAGACGGCGTGTGCCATGGGAAGCTCTGCCGCCGAGGCGCGCAGCGAGGCTTGCGAGCTGTGCGCCCAGGGCTACTACCAGAACGAGACCGGCCAGGCCGCCTGCGTCCGCTGCGCTGCTGGCAAGTTTTGCCCTCAGGGATCGTCGCGCGAGCTGGACGCGCAGTGCGCGGCGGGCACGTACGCCAACGCGACGGACGCCGACGGCGACCCCGAGTGCCTCGCCTGCCCCGCCGGCTCGTCGTGCGCGGGAGGTGGCGCCGCGCCTGCCGTGTGCTCTCCGGGAACCGCAGCCACGCCTGCTCAAGGCCAGTGCACCGTCTGCGATGAAGGGACGTACCAGCCGGACTCCGGAGCCGCGGGCTGCCTCGAGTGCGCGCCGGGTACGTTCTGTCCCAAGGGAAGCAGCGCTCAGCTGCCGGCGACCTGTCCCGCGGGCTTCTACAACGGGAAGGCGTCCACCACGCTGGAGAGCCTCGACGATTGCGTCGGTTGCACGCCTGGCAGCTTCTGCGCCGGCGGCGCCGCGCAGCCAGCGCCTTGCGCTCCAGGCAGCATCGCCCCCTCGGCCAACATGTCTGCTTGCGAGCTGTGCCCGATCGGACGCTTCGCAGCCTCCTCCACCGAGTGCGAGGAGTGCGAGGCGGGCACCTACGCGGCGAGCGAGGGCCTCTCGCAGTGTACTCCCTGCCCTTACCCTACCGGCTCCGACAGCGGCGACGTCACCTGCTCCATCTGCAAGGAGGACTTCTACCTGCGGGACGCGAGCGCCCTTCCGGATGACATCTTTCGCTTCCCGACCGAGCACTGCAAAGCGTGCCCGCTGAACGCCAACTGCGCGACCAATACCACTCTCGAGACCCTCGGCGTCCGGCGCGATTACTGGCGCGCCTCGGAGCGAACCACCGAGATCCACGAGTGCGACGCTTCCGACCACTGCAGCGGCTCGAGCGGTTCAACGGAGACCTCTCGCCGCCTCCTCGCGGCGTCTGGCGGCGCCGGCCCAGGCTGCGACCTCGGTCACACCGGCCCGCTCTGCGAGTGGTGCGTGAGCGACGAGCAGTACTTCAGCCGCGCGGAGCGAGGCTGCGCCGACTGCCCGACGACGGGGCGGTTCGGCATCCTGGCGGGAGTCGTCGTCGCTCTCGCAGGGACAGGGCTCTTCTTGTACCGCACCCTCCCCCGCGCCGAGGCGTGGGGCCGCCTCAGAGCACGTCTTGACATCTGCGAGTCGCAGGTCGGCGTGTATAGCTCCCTCAGTCACCCTGCACTGCCTCTTCTCCTGCCGTGGACTTTCTGCCGATCATAGAATGGGAGTAGCCCGTCGCTGCCTCACATATTGCGTGTGGCGAGACACCATTCGCATCAGTTGCCTTAGGTCGGCTTCCAGCCCAAGTTCAAGATTTTGGTCAGCTTCTACCAGATCGCCGCGACGCTCGGCCCCGTCTACGGCGTCCGCCTCCACGAGGACTTCACGCGCTGGACCGACTTCATGGACGCGATCAGCCTCGACCTAATCGGCCTCACCTATCCGGATGCCTGCATCGGCTCGATGGGAGACCGGCTCCTGCTCGCAGGCTTGTGGCCGATCCTATCTATCATGCTCGGAGGCGCCGCCCTCGCCTGCTGCGCCCTCGCGGAGTGGCTTCTGTCTGGTCGCGCCGACGCCCTCCGGCGCGACCTTGTGCGCGCTACGCTGCGTCGCCTCCTCTACTGGGCCATCCTCGTTGCCTACCTCGTGCTGCCCTCGGTCTCCCGCTCCATATTCAAGGCGCGGCAGTGCGAGTCGTTTAATGTCGACGACTTGACCGGGGACAGGCGCAGCTACCTCGTGGCCGACCTCGACGTGCTCTGCAGCGCCGCCGACGACGAGTACAGCGGCCTCGACGCGTACTTCTGGGCCTTCTTCGTCCTGTGGCCGGTGCTCGTGCCTCTAGCCTTCCTGGCGCTCCTGCTTTCGATCCGCTCCGAGGTGCGGGCGCAGCGAGTCAGGGCAACGGCCCGAGCCAGCCGCTTCCTCTGGCGCGACTACGACCCGCGCTTCCTCTTCTGGGAGGTCGTCGATCTGGGCCGCAAGCTCTTCCTCGCTTCACTGGTGCTCTTCATTCAGACAGACGACGGCTCGAGCAAGCTGCTCCGCCTCTTCGTCGCCTCTGTTGTCTCGGCCCTCTACCTCGCCGCCCTCGCCCTCGCCCGGCCCTTCAGGCGTGACGACGACCTCTACCTCGCGTGCACCGCCAATCTGTTGCTCTCCTGCTGCTTCATCTCCGGCATGGTGATTCAGCTGTGCGAGAGCGCCGCCTACGAGGACATGTGCAAGGCCCTCGTCGGCTTCGAGAGCGCGCGCGGCGCGAGTGAGTTTGTGATCGCGCTCACCGCCGCAATGCTGGCCGCGTCGCTGCTCGTCGTCCTCTTCAAGACTATCAGCGCCGTCCGCATGCCCACCATCCGCCTCTCCTCCTCCGGCCGCCATCCGGTCCTCGAGCTGTCCCCCGAGTGCCACTTCCACGGCTTCATCTCGCACTGCTGGGGGACCGGCCAGGACCAGACGCACACCGTCGTGCGGCAGCTCCAGCTTCTTCTCCCCGGCGTCCGGATCTGGCTCGACGTCGACAACCTCGAGGACGTGGGCAGGCTCGAGGAGTCGGTCAGAGACGCGACGACCTTTCTCGTCTTCCTCAGCGCGGGCTACTTCAAGAGCTTCAACTGTCGCCGCGAGCTTTACGCGGCGCTAGGCTCGAACCGGCCCTTCATCCCGATCCAGGAGGCTGACGTCGACAAGGGCGGCGCCTCGATCGAGGCGCTGAAGGCAGAGTGCCGCGAGCACTGCGTCGAGACCGCCCCGCCGGCCTACCCCTCATACAGCGGGCCTAGCGAGATGCTCGCGCGCGTGTTTGAGGCGACGCCGCCGATCGTGTGGGTGCGGGTGAACGCCTTTCAGCTCGAGTCGCTCAAGGCTGTCGCGCTTCGCATGCTGCTGCACTCTCCTTACTACGCGAGCCGCCCGGCCGAGCTCGCCGACGGCGTGATGGTGCCCGGCCAGGCGGGCCCCGTTGCCTTCAGCGGCCCCGTCACCATCCTCGTGTGCCGCGACAACGAGGGCGCCGTCGGCATTGCAAGGGAGCTCAAGACGGCGGCGAGGGAGGGGCGCGGCTCTACCGCCAGCGCCGAGACGGTAACGATCCGCGATGCGGAGGAGGCGCTCGAGGGAGTCAACGCGGCCCCGCTCTCCGGGCACGTAGTGTTTCTGCTCTACCTGAACGATAAGACCTTCCTGGACGCCGGCGGCGCCGTCGCGCGCCTCGTGCAAGCGGCGATGGACCGGCGCATCGCGATCGCCATGGTCCACGAGCAGGACCCTACCTGCGGCGGCGTTCCGTTCCGCAACTTTTTCCAGCAGACGCCGCAGGTGCTGCTGCAGCAGCCGTACAAGCTCTTCGACACGGTGGCGGTGCCGCTCTACCCGGCTCCGGAGCACCGCTCGGTGAGCTTGCGCCTCGTGCTGAGCAGCATGGGAGCGGTGCCATGCGATGCGGGGCCGCTCCAGCGGCGGTGGCAGCTCCTCCGCCGCCGCATAGCGGTGGCGCGCCTCGTGCGGGGGCACCCCGCCGAGCCGCGCCAGCAGCCTGTGGTACAGCCGTAGGACGTGTTGGGCGAGACCTCGCGCGGCCCGAGCGTGCGCGCCCCGCGCCGCGGGATAGAGGTGGCGCCGATGTCCTTGTTCTGTGGTAGTCAGCACAACGGCTTGGAGGTGTCCGAGAGGCATCTGACACGTCCGGGAGTCTGGAGGGGT